GCAAAGAGCATCGTTATTAATATTAGAGCAGAATAATTACTTAAGATAAATAAATAATAATTAAAGTGATTCAAAATACTTGGCAGATTAAAGGCATGCAAGGTTATGTATAATTAAAAAGAAAAAATATAAACTCGCCTAACATTTTCGTAGCATTGGGTGGGATTATGTAGCTGCCCCTAGAACTCAGCCATTAACATTTTTGCTCCATGCCTTTTCTCTTCACATGTTTATCTATACATTCATCTTAACTATTGTTCCTGTTTGGACAAAAGCAAAACATACCAATAAATATAAATTGAAAAGACATAACTCTCATTCCTTCGTGTCCATTTGTATTCTAAAATATTTTATTAATTTAATTGGGAACATAATAAGAATCATTATTAGTGAGGGAATACTAAATGTACCCCATGCTAAAGAGTTCCAAATGCAATACATATTATAATTTAGTGTTTTTACATTTATATACATTAAATTTGAAGAGATAATGTATATTTAGAGGGTAAAATCGTTATTCAGCTTTTAATGGGTAAATTAGTAAATTAACTTTAACTTAAATTGTTCACACTTATAATGTAGTATGATATGATATGATGTATTCCTTCACCTATTAAGCTTAAATCGAGCATTCATTAGTTTACTTATTTGAGCGTAAAGCCTAGCTATTACTTAACAAAGTGAAAAGCACTCTATGATGAAAACTTTTCCATTTTCAACAATATGACACAAGACATTTACAAATTTTGATGAAACATTACTTTATTGACTCTTAACAAGGGGAAAAAACTCAAATTGTTTGGACAAAAGGAGTATAAACTATTAACTTTCAAAAAGTGATTCCTAAGGTTAACTTCAACAAATAAACTCGCTATTATCTTATTCAGAAACTGAAAGTATACTAACGAAGAGTATACTATATAGTTTTGATATATCCATACCATAACGAAGTGTTGGTTTAGTGATGATAGTAGGCTATAATCTCATGTTTTAGTCGATTATTACATTCCAATTTATTGCACTTTAGTTGAGTTTGAGCTTTAATCGCTAGTGTTTTGCACTAATTGTGTGTTTTATGCCTTGTAGGAGTATTTCCGAGCTATGTAAATATTATGGAATGAATTCAAGTGATTTGGAGCTTTGAAGTTTGAGTAAAAGCCCAAGAAATTAAGCCGGGATCGTGTTCGGGGATCAACGGATGATAGTTAAGAACGAACGAAGAATCGAGCAGGCATATTGTGCAGTGTCCGGTAAAATGCACATAACTTTTCGCTCAGAGATCCGTTTGGGCTCTACAATATATCATTGGAAAGTTATTTAAAAGATCTACAACTTTCATGTTTTATGGGTTTTTAAATTCCCAACAAAACAGGGTAAAAAGTGTGCGGCGAGTGTACATCCGCGCACCGGCAGCGCATATGGGGCAGAACAGTGTGAAAAGTGCGCGGGTACACTTTCAAGTGCGCGGCCGCGCACGTCTTGTCCGGAAAAGTGTCTTTTTTCGCGCAAGAGAAGGTGTTTTTGTTTGGGCCCGACCCTACTTGGTATATATATATGAAAAAATAGTATTTTGACCACTTTTGACACATCTAAAACCTAAGGAGTCTAAGGAGAAGTTGGAGAAGGAAAAGCACAAGGAATCCATCATTCAATCCCAACTCAAGACAAGGGTTTGGATTGTTTTATGTTTTTCTTCACACTTTAAACTTAATTGTGATGAATTACTCCATGTCTATGGAGTAATTCTTCCTTAGGGATTGATGGATTTGGTGTTTTGAGAATTGTTTGTGGATATTAACTCTAGTTTTATATATTAAATCATTTTGGGTGTTTTTATTATTGCATATATATTCACATATTTATGTAATCGGAAGAGGCATAATTTGTGATGTTTTGCATTATCTTGTTGGTTGAATTTGTTGATTTTTCTTAGTAATCGAAAGAGGCTAGTTGAATTATTGTTTAGACCTAGTTAGGAGAATAATCGAAAGAGGTTCTCCTAAAGATTAACCCACTACGAATTCTTGCATATCTTCACTGAGCTTAACTTAGTTTATATTGTGAGGTTGAGACTTAATCGAGAGAGTAGTTTCTACTGAACGTTCGAACTAATAATATAGTGAATTCGAGAGACTCACTTGAACCATAGAGTGAAGTAACTAGAGTTAATTCCCAAACAAGCATCTTGCACCTATCCAATCAACCCATATTTTCTCCCATTGCTATCTTATTTGCTTACTCTTGTTGCGATTGTCATTAGCCAATAGTTTAGACTTTTAGTTAATTTTACTTTTAATTTACACAACTCCAAATTGTTGATTATCTTGAATAGCAATAAGACTAGAAACTACGAAAATACTGTCTAATTTCAATCCCTGTGGATACGATATTTTTTATACTATATTCGACTAGCGAGCATAATTTTGTGTTGTATTTTTCGCTCGTCAAGTGACAATTCCACCTAGATAGGTTTGAGTAACACAGTTCCACAGTTGATTATATAAACTGTTTGCATTCGAAAAGATTTGAATCATACATGTTAATACTATATAAAGACCTTTATATTATTGATTTAATTTAACAAACTATTATTATCCTAATTTTTCTGGTTACCATATAGATCTGTTATTCTGATAGTTTAAGAATTTCTACACTTAAAATTTAATTAATTAGTGGAAACTACGTCATATACCTACAAAACAAAAAATATTTACCCGTCTTTATCCATTTTAAAACCAATTACAAAAACTACATGGCCTACGAGAATATATTACCCGCCTATCCAATTTCCCAATACCCGAAATCATGAAAAACTTTTCTTCTAATCTCTCTTTATCTTTCTCTGCATCTTCTTTATTACCCAACCCTAACTTCTTCAAATCTCTTCCTTATTCTTACCAATATGTAGCAGGGATAATTTTAGGGGAATGAGATGCTACGTAGATGAACCAACATGGAAAACTAGCCATGGTTATCGATGGTTAGGTGTTAATAATGAAGTTAAAATTCGATAGAACTAATATGTGTCTTTTGTGTATTTTTGAGTTTTTATGTGTTGCCGACTGAAATTGATATTGTTTTTGTTGTGAAACTTATTGTGAGCCAAAATCATAAAGAAAACAAGTGGGTTCAAAAACTACTGGACCATTTTTCATATTTTCAAAATTTTCAGGTCCTTATTCAAAGTTTAGACGACGTTCTCATGATGGAGATTTTGCAGTAAATTTTTTTAAATTTGAGTTAAAGCTGAGTTGAACTAGAGAAGAAAAATTTATATTATATACCAAAATGATATACTATATACTATTTGGTATATAGTTTATTCCAACGGTATACTGTTACATTATACTATTATAATTTGGTCCTTTTTGAATTTTTTGAAGTTTTTATTGAGTTCTTTTTCAACTTTTCAACGGAGTTCTCATGTTTTTTTAATTTTTTTCTTAAGCCAAGATATTTAGTTTGAAATATTTGATTGGAGATTGTGGCTAAAGTTTGAGTCAATTTGGTATAAATTCTGGAATAGATTTTTGACATTTAGGTTGAAATTGAGTTGAACTAGCGAATAAGACTAAATTGTACTATATACCAAAATAACATATTATATACCGTTTTGTTATACGATATTTAATTCAATAGTGTATAATTTATTGCAACAATATATGATTACAGTATATGGTATATTGTAACAATATAGTTAAATTTGGTATTTTTTATTTTTCAAAAAAAATTCAAAGGGTCCTTTTTAAATTTTCTAATAGAGTTCTCGATATCATATACCCATTTAGTATATGATATATAGCATGCGGGCATCATAGTATACTTCACTAATATACTTCAACTGCTACTAGTATATTATTGTTGATATACTATATGCTAAAGTAAGTTATTTTTTAATAATTAATAGATAAAAATATAAATAAATAAAAAATAAAGGAGCCAAAAATGTGTGTAGAATTAGATTACGAAAAAAAGGAAATAAAAAATGATTTGAATAATGATAAATAAGAATAAAGAAATAAAAAAATAAAAGTAAAAAGAGAAGAGAAAATAGTTATAATGTATAAGTTATTCTAATAATTAAATTAAAAAAATAAGAAAAAAGATAAAATATATATTATACCAGTTATTAAAAAAGGTGAACAAATATTTATTTTATTAATAATCTTCTTTTATTGTATAAAAAAAGAATAATGAAAAGGAGAAAAAAATTCAATGAAATTAGATTATGAAGAGAAAAAGAAAATAAAAGAAAAAGGAGTTAAATAAAATTAGAAAAGGAACAACAAATAAAGAAAATAAACAAAAAAATAAAGAAGGTGCCAAAATTGAGTGTGAGATTAAATTATGGCAATAATAATAATAATAATAATAATAATAATAATAATAATAATAATAATAATAATAATATAATTTGGGCAAAAAATAAATGAACAGAAAAGAAGAAAAAGAAAAAAATAAGAAGAAAATGAGAAAAAAGGAGAAAAGAAAGAAAAGAAGGAAAAAAGAAAACAAGCAAAGAAATAAAAAAGAAAAGGAGAAAAAAGAGGAAATTACCCATAAAAACTATCATTGGTAGGAAATATAATTAGTTTGATGGGTAGAAAAGTAAATGGGTAGGCAAGGATAAATAGTTTTATTTTTGTGGGTAATTGTGTCATTCTCCCAAAAATTAAGGGGTAATAGATAACATCAAAAGCAAGCAATTCGGGTAGAGAAATCAAGCCCGCGTAAATAAGGTAGAAATGATATCAGGTAGTCACTCTAAAAGACTGCTATTTAGGAATTAACCAGTGTGTCCTAAATCTTATTATTTTAGTTTAATTTTTTAAGATAAAAATATCCTGAGTCGTCATGAAGTTAAGATTTTTAGTTTTAAATTTCGGGACAAAATATGTATGGACTAATCTCAAAATAGTACCCAAGGAATGGCTATATGTGCACTTGCCCCGTAAGTAAGTAAATCCAATCCAATTAGATATGGGGGCTAGTACAAATTAGCGGAACACACGTCATTTGGTTTTGAATCCAATCCAACATCCTTTTAACGTTTTGACCCGACCCTCTCCCTCTCTCCCTCCTTCTTCTTCCGTCCTTCTCCTGCGATCTGATTCTTGTCTCAGGTAAGCTCACACACCACAAAAGCTCTTTATTGTTTTTAATTTTACTTATAGAATACTATAATCACCTATCTTTGATCGAAACTATTCTCAATTTCTGATCAAGTTTTGATATTTTTCTGCTTTTCTATTCGGGTTTGATCCTGTTGTGTTCTGAATTGTTAATTGAGGTTTTTTTTTTTTTCTCGTAATGTATTCCAGAATTTAAAGTGACGTGATCAGTTTATTGACCAGATGGATTTAGTTGCAAAGTACCAGGTACTTATTTTGTTTCCTAAAATGGGCACTTTCTGATGAACAAATATTGTGATAATTTGTAGCGTTAGGTGTGATTGAATTGATTGAAATGTGTTGCAGGGTGTAGTTGGAAGGGTGTTTGGTAATGAGAACTCCGGTTCAAGTGAAGATAGGTATGTTTTTTGTTTCATCAATTCCTTTATTGATAGCTGTAATGGGTTGAATCCCATGTGCATTTATGAATTATGGTGGTTTATGCGAGCTACATTTATATACAACTGAAAACGAAAACAACAACTATGCACTCAATCTCAATTTAGTCGGGGTTGACTATATGAATCCTCAATGTCCATTTCATCGATTGCCCTTTGGTTTGGTGGTAAGAGCATAGCAAGTGATTTGTGAGCTAGGTGCACGTTACACTAGAACCCTGCCACATTCAGAAACCTGGTATTTAGGTGGAGAAGGGTAGAGGTAGGACCATTATTCACCGAGTTTCGAAACTTGCACCACTTGCTCTCGGGGATTCTTCGGTTATCAAAAGACCCGTATAAAATAAATAACGTTATAAAAGAAAGATAGTAAGATAAATGATCCACTTCCTGGCAAAGAAAATAGACTCAGGTCTGTATTTATTCACTTTGAATTCAGATAAATACTTTCTTTAATCATATATCTTGATGGGTTAAGTGTGTGTTGTATCCATGGAATGTGAGCCTTGGTAGATATTGCTGCAGTACTTATATTTCCAGTATGGTTAGAAGAAATGACTTCTTGCTAGAATGAGGGAGATGTTTGGGATATGATGACATGACCCTGGAAATTGAATTTGTCCCTTAGATTGTCCAGCTGATTATGTTGTGCTACTTTTTGCTGTTTTTAAGCAGATCAAAACATATTTCCACCTTGCAGTGTAGTCCAACTAGTTTAGCATGTTGATTAATCTAGTTTGTTCTTTTGACCAATAGCTATGTCGAACGCTTGCTTGACCGGATTAGCAACGGT